TGTGTTAACACAATGCCAATGAAGAAAGACATCTGCAATGATCTTAGAGAAGCAATTGTTGCACTCCATCAAACTGGGACGAGTTATAAAGCCATTTATAAACAATTTAAAGCCATCATTGTGCACAAACACAGATTATTCAAAAGTGGAAAACATTATAGACAGTTGCCAATCTTTCCAGGAGTGAACATCCCAGCAACTTCACACCAAGATCAGACAGTGCAATGTGCAGAGAAATAAAAAAAAAAAAAAAAGTTTCATCTCACCTCATATTAACTGTCAAGCAAGGGTCATTGGGTCAACTGTGAACTCCTCTATATACCAAATTATTCCAGAGTCATATGTGAAGCTATCTATTCGACAGCTAAAGCTAGGCAGATATTGGGTCATGCAACAGGACAATTAACATAAGCACACCAGCATATCTACAACAAAATGTCTGAAAAAGAAAAGAATCAAGGTGTTGCAATGGCCCAGTCAGGGTCCAGGCTTCCATCCAATGGAAATGCTATGGTGTAACCTTGAGAGCTGTGCATAAAGAAATGGCATAACCCTCAATGAACTAAAGCAACGTTGTAAAGAAGAGTGGGCCAAAATTCCTCTACAACAATGTGAGAGACTGATAAAGTCATACAGAAAACAATTGTAGATTATACTAGCTTTAGTGTAACTATAATCTTAATTTTATTAATGACAGGAGGCAAATATTTGCTTAAGTCTCTCATTACTAGAACTCCACAGAAGCACATTAACATAGAGATGAAAACACCAGAGACAAAAAAAATCAGGAATCTATAAAAGGCTTCTCCCAACTAAGTATTTCTTCTTTCACGCTGCGACAAATAAAGTACATGAACAATACACCACAAATACAGTAACAGGAGAAACAAACCTAACATAAAAATGAATGCCATCCGAAATTGGAACCAGTGGGTGAAGCCTTGACCTTTATCCTGTAGAGTAGTTGGATCTAAGAACTGTAGCCAAACCATTAAACTGAAACGATATAAACAGAGTCGAAAACACTGATTAGCGAATGAAATGTACTGAGAAAACATGAATCCCCATCGTAAATACTGACAGTATAATATCCCAGATAGTGAAAAAACCTGAATCCCCATCATAAAATACTGACGGTACCATATCCCAGATAAACCCCAACTCCCCTAGATAACCAACCTAGCCCAGGAGACCAGGAGAATAAACATGTCAGTCAAACCAACAAACAACAAGGGGAGGGAGAAACTGGGAGGGAAATATTTGCCTCCTGTCATTAATAAAATTAAGATTATAGTTACACTAAAGCTAGTATAATCTACAATTTTTATAGCATGACAGGATGCTTCATATTTGCTGTTTTAACGCTCGGACAGCAAAGACTAAAGAAACACGATCCGCCGAACCAAAACTAAACTCTGCGAAGATAGCTCCTCGTAACCGACAGGAAAGCGTACGATGTCTTGGAGAAAAAATGCCCACCATGTCGGTACCTGAAGTCGCCGTGTTACTGACTGAAGTGAACCGAAAAAACCTATACGCCCCGCCAATGCCAACCACAACCAAGTGGTACATGAAGGGCGAGAAAAAGGGAAGAACAATTTCAACAACCGGTGATGTCGAACACCGCCTAAAGGTGGGAGTGCTACCAAAGTAAGGATATGACCCTCGGGTCCGACTGAGGCTGATAGACAACTAAGGTCCGAACCCATCTGAAGGAAAAACAAGGTATAACGGAAATAAATCCAGAATCAGTGAATGAGCAAAACCCGACAGAACCCGCCATAGGAGCATGACAAAAATGCGTGTACCTTTCCTTTGGGGAGATGAATACCCGTCCTCAGGAATCGTAAAGGGAATTCTAAGCAGAGCGAGGCCCGCCGACAACAGTCGTACACGCTACATAATCTAACTAATATGGCAGTCCCCGGTAATAAAGTGACCGAACAATACCCGAACTCTGTAAAAGCGGTAGCAAAATTAGAACATCCGTACCAGACCCAACTATGTCAGGGTCGCCATGCAGACCCAAGTATCACAATCCCTGAGATCAAATGAGCAAGGGTCCAGGGAATCCAGGAACTAGGTTCGACTCTGCCGAAGCGGAGATCATAATTCCAAAGTACCAGCAGACCGAGGCACCTATAGAAAGGTGCTGAGACCAAACAAACAGAGGAGACTCGTCCACATCTCCGTGTCGAACACTCCTGTAGGGAAGGGTCCATCGGCAAGTCCGTCTAGGTAGACCGTACAGCAAGATGTCCTATATCAATGAGGAGTCGCGTCCAGGTCCCAACGCGTGGAAAACGAGATCTTTTCAGATAGTTCTGGTATTCCTGAATGTTCTCAATTCCTGCCAACCAGGTTGTATTGTCGCTCAAATGACTGATGCACAAGATACCTATCTCGCCAGGGAGAAAATAGAGGCCACCTTACCAGAACTGGGCCCCGCGGTCCCTAGAAGTTTCTTGAGGGCCGCGTCTAATTCAAAGTAATTAATGAATATATGTTCAATCGTAGACTCGTGCTGGGACTCCGAGAGGCTCAGATCCCTTTATCCCAAGCACCTCCAGCGGTCCAAATTGCGTTTAGGATAGGGTCGTCTGCCACCCCAGACTCGTGACCCCGTCTGTGATGTCATCTGAAAGTGGAGGCAAGTGTGAAATTCAGAGTCAAGGGTCCAATCCCCCATAAAAGGTACGGGTTGGAGCTGAGATAAGCCTCTGTCAAGTATTTCCATGTAAAAAAGGACACATATTATACTTCCTCGTATGTTCTGCTAGCACAACTCACTCGTGTAGCGGAGAACAATCGGCTTGCCAGTGCAGACTTAATAGTATAGGCACTGCAGTGGGCCGCACTCAGGATCTCCTGAATACTAGACAGGTGCTTAATCAGCAAAACCGCAGTGCCCCATCTGGGTCTAAGTCTGGGTTTGCGGCTACTTTGTTCAGGAGCCCGGCTGGGAATACCGCTCGAACTATCCTGCGGGCTTCTCAAGCCAGCGGTCTACTGGCCCAGAAACCCATCGATGGTGCTAGGTGATCGGGCAGAGACCATTCCAAAGAAACCAGGTGAGCAATGGATCATGGTGCCACTAGGGGCCATCATCATAATCCACACCCCCATCGTCCTCTTCCTCCGAGGGGAAACTGTCCGCCCGCTATTCAGCTAGGGTGGCCATGGTGGGGGAGAGTTACGGGGACCTTCACCTCTGTGCCACATAGGCAGTGTCGTCTGGCAGTCAAGGCCGATCGTATCAGGACTAGACACTTCTCCGGAGACTAATCTTTCCGGCCGTCTGGTTCCGGGCCTTCACCCTACCCATAGTGCTTATGCGCCCTTGCTTGCTCTCCTCTCGGAGAGTCTGACTCCTTCAAGTCATCTGCCTTTTTAAGAAGGTGGTCACTGGTCATTGCCTCCCCCGCGCCATATAGGCAGGGCCGTCTGGCCGATTGCAGAGGGGCTAGCTGCTCCTCAGAGTCTTATCTTTCCAGCAGCCTGGTTCAGGGCATTCACCCTTCCAGTAGCACTCATGCGAACTTGCCTGCTCTCCTCAAGGAGAGTCTGACTCATTCAAGTCACTGGTTCAGGGCCTTCACCCTTCCAGTAGCACTTATGTGCCCTTGCCTGCTCTCCTCTAGGAGAGTCTGACTCATTCAAGTTGCCTGCCGTTTTAAAGGTGGGCCCTCTAGCATTACGCTCCTGATAAGCTTAAGGGAGGACCCTGGCTAAAGCCTAATTCCACGGAGGCTGTCACTGCCATAGTAGTCATTGTCTGCGCTGTTAACCCGGATAAGGGTTTCTCCTGTGCAGCGGTCCCAGGCATAGCGACCTCAAGGAGTATAGAGGACAAGTGTTCCCGGCAGGGAGATAGGGGCAGCACCCCATATAGTGACCGAGGCAAGTTGGGCAGTGCATGCAATGCACAAGTGTGGGTATGTGGCAGTAGGCTTGGCATGCAGACATTCTGGCACAGACAGCACAGGCCAGATCAATGGGGCACAGAGAAGGCAGGCTAGATCAATGGGGCACAGAGAAGGCAGGCCAGATCAATGGGGCACAGACAAGGCAGGCCAGATCAATGGGGCACAGACAAGGCAGGCCAATCAATGGGGCACAGACAAAACAGGCCAATCAGTAAGGCACGGACAAAGCCGGCCAATTCCTGGGACACAGAAAAGTCAGGACCTTCAGAGATGTACAGGTGAGGAACTGCGCATTCCATTCTTCCGATAAAATGTACCTTTTGCTCTTCAGATAAGATGTACATAACACTTCTTCAGATTAATAGCACGTAACACACTTCTGTGTAACTGTAAGTAACACTCTTCTGTGTAACTGTACGTACCTTCTTCTGTTAATTTGTACATAACGCTCTTCTGTGTAACTGTGCATAGCATTCTTCTGTGTAACTGTACATAGTATATCATTGTGTAACTGTACATAGCATTCACTGTGTGACTGTACATAGCATTCCATTGTGTAACTGTAGATAACGCATTTCAGTTAAATAGTGCCTGACACTCCGTAAATAGTGAACTTGCATATTGAGTTCCCTAGTCAGGGAACTCACCAACTGAGTTACTTCACAAGAGGTGCTCCATTGGTCAATATGATAAAACAGAGCACTGCAAGCAATCATCTGAACAAACAAAAAGGGGGGGGGGATGAGTATAAGTGGTAACACTGCCAGTTGTGCCTGTAACCCTTGAGGGGTTATGCACAGCTCTATTTAGGTGAAGAAAATACAGTATAGCTAAAAAAATAAATCCCTACAGCACTAAGTAGGTAGATGCAAAAATACCCTCTAAACAAATAATTTATACAGTAATAAACCTACAAATACAGTAAAATATCCACAACCACCCATATAAAACAGGAGGCAGTGGTACTCTGACCTGTACTGACTGCGGAGCAGCAAAGAAAGAGGAAATAGTTAGTTGGGAGAAGCCTTTTATAGATTCCTGATTTTTTTTTTTTTTTGTCTCTGGTGTTTTTATCTCTATGTTAATGTGCTGCTGTGGAGTTCTAGTAAAGAGAGACTTAAGCAAATATGAATCCTCCTGTCATGCTATAAAATTACTTCACATTATTGCTGCTAAAAGTGGTTCTGTAAACTGTTGAACTGTAGCGGGACCTGGGTAACCTGGCTGGTTATCCCCTTTGACTAGGATAGGTCAGAGCCAGAGATATCAGCGTCGAATCCCTGGGACACAAGGCTCTGTACATCCCTGAAATCAGTTACATGGTGTTGCTTGGTTTAGTCCAGCGAATTCAAACTTCACGTCTAAAGCAAGCAACAATCAATCAGCCGAAATGGCGCGAGCCAAATTGCGCCAATCAGCATTAGGGGGAGGAAGGAGTTTTGCCTCCCAATTCGCAGAAAGGGCGCGAAACTCGGCTGCACCAATCGGTGCTGGGGGAGGATTGGGGGTTTCGGAGCCCAATCAGAAGATAAGGTGCAAAACCCAATGTCACAAATCCGCTGAAAGGCACAAAACTTATTTGCGCCAATCAGCACCCAGGGATGAGAGGTGTTTTGCTGCCCAACCAGACGGAAGGGTGCGAAACCCCGTTTGAACAAGCGCTCCTTCTCGGATTGTTCGCTCGCTCCCTGTGATGACCAATCAGCACTTTACTCACGCCGACCAATCAGGAGAATGGTGCGAACCCAGTTTGAATGGGCGCTCCTTCTCCCATTGGTCAGCACGGACTTCAATGCAGCCAGCGGGAACCCTGCGGCTGTGAGACCGACTCACAGCCCCAGGGACTCTCATGTGGCGCACGCCCCTATCTCCGGTGGATATCCCCATGCAGATATCCACCGGGGAGAGCGGTCTCCTGGGCAGCCATGATCCTTGTCAGGTATACTCTAACATTCATGCTGCCGCCGGAACCCACTTCCGGGTTCACGTCGCTTAGCCCCGCCCCTTTTTCTGACGCGGTGCTTCCACGATACTTAGGAAGACCGCGCCAGATTCAAAGGGCTGGATTATTCACTCAGGTGCTGCAGTGAGATCAGCTGCTCTACTTGATGCTACCGGCTCCACTTCTCAACCTCGGCTTGTAAACAGATTTCTACCTTCTCCTCTCCCAGACCTCGGCTTGTAAACGGATTTCTACCTTCTCCTCTCCCAGACCTCGGCTTGTAAACGGATTTCTACCTTCTCCTCTCCCAGACCTCGGCTTGTAAACGGATTTCTACCTTCTCCTCTCTCAGACCTCGGCTTGTAAATGGATTTCTACCTTCTCCTCTCTCAGACCTCGGCTTGTAAACGGACTCCTACCTTCTCCTCTCTCAGTCCTCGGCTTGTAAACGGACTCCTACCTTCTCCTCTTCCAGACCTCGGCTTGCAAAAAGCGGACTTCCTTTCTCTCCACTCCTGATTTTCAGTTTGTTAAAAGAGACTCCTATCTTCTCCTCCATTGGGTGAATTAACCCTTCCAGTGCCAGACTGCCTCTAAGTTAAGTAAATCTTTTGCCAAGGAAACCAAGTCATATCAATTATTTTGTAGTATTTAATTTCTCTAATCTCTCCCTTAACAAATAGGGATTGTTGCTAAGGCTAATTCTTCCTACCAATATCAATTTATTCAAACTGCAAGCCTGTCCAACTTCATTATTAACTAACT